AGAGAGAGAGAGAGAGAGAGAGAGAGAGAGAGAGAGAGAGAGAGAGATGGCGTGCAGGGCGGGTGGTGCGCTGGTGGGGGCAATGCTTGTCCTCATCAGCCTGTCGTCAGTGGTGGAGGCGCAGTTCGGAGGATTTTGCGATCCTTTCCAAGCGCCGACGGGCGGCTGGACGGGGGGAACTGCGACCTTCTACAGCGGCGGACGTGGTGGAGCATGTGGGTTTGGTGGACTGGGGTACGCCATATACGGGGAGAGATACGCCGCAGCGTCAATGAAAATCTGGCAGAACGGTGCCGCCTGCGGAATGTGCGTTGAGATCAAGTGCATGGGTCCCAGCGGATGCTATGCAGGGAAAATTGTCAAGGTCACCATCACCGACTTCTGCCCCAACACTCACCCCAATCTTGCTCACTGCGGGCCTGAAAAGGTGAGAGCTGCTCTCCTCTCCTCTCGGAGGAGCCCCCCGTTTGTTCTCCCTTTCCTGTCCTTCTTCCTTTCATTTGTTTTCGTTCTGCTCGTATTTGAGTGTCTGCCTGTGTTTCTGTCTCGCGTCTTTGTCAATGACTCAATGAGTGTCTGTCTGTGTTTGTGTCTCACGTCGACCAAGCCTTAGGGAATGATTGTGCAACAGGACGTGCTGTGCAGTTCCCTCTTCCAGAAGATGACATATGTCGAGCACATTTCCGTCTTTCCAGAACGTTCAGTTTAGGTTCAGCAGCGAAACGGGTGAAACACCACGGGTACCACATTGGTCTGAAGGGTTTGTCTAACTTGGTCCATCTTCCTTTTTTCTCTTTCGAACGAACAATGTCATGTGAGCACATTGGTGGTTGGTAGTTTCTGGAAGTCTGTTCTGAGTCCCTATGAAAGAGACGTCATGTTGAGCTCTCCTTCCTCTTTCCTGCTAGACTGTTCAGTTCATGGTAGTTGGTTGAGCCGAGATGGATGAAAGGCGACTGGCTTGATGCAAGCCCCACACGTTCTATGCTTTATTATTGCTCAACTCTCGTTCACCCCCCAACAGAAGAGACTGTCGTTGTAGGTGTACCGGAGTCTGAAAAGGGTAGACCAACCCAGGAGCCTAGCTCAGTGGGGACACCGATGAATTGTTGAAATACGGACCCGAGTTCGAATCCAGATGATGATGCTAAGATTGACGAGTAACACCAAATATTTCAAAAAAAAAAGAAGTGGTAAAGTTCGGTTACGGCACAAACGAGTCTGAAAAGGGCAACATAATAATCGCATGCCGACCGGCAAAAAACTCGTGCGCGCCGAATTTGAAAGGGCAACCAAAGCATTTTCATTTGCACACGGAGTTTGAAAGTAAGGGCAACAAGCTCTTTTCTTTTTCTTTTTCTTGTTCTTTTTCCTCTGACACTCTGTGAGTGCACACTTTGCTTGGTGCTGTTTTTCTTGTCTTGCTTGTGCAGAACCACATTGACATGGGACAAAACTCCTTCCCCGTGATCGCCAACCCACGAGTCGGTGTCATCAATATCCAGTACCGGGTTGTCCCATGCAATGCCTACGGCAACTTCCAAGTGCAGATTAACGGCAATCAATATGGCTGGTTGTCCCTCCTCATCGCTCAGATCCCCGGCAGTGGGCGCGTAGTCGGCTGTGAAGTTCAAGGCGCGGGCATGAATTATTGGGAAGGACTCAGGAGAGTCTGGGGAAGCAACTGGATGAGAACCGGGACGCCGCTGAAGACTCCAATCCATGTGCGACTGAGCCTCCTGGGACAAATCTGCAAAGTGACATCTCGCAACTGTATCCCAAATGGATTCTATTTCGGTCAGGCGGTGAAATGCAACCTGCGGTAATGGAGAGCTGTTGGTTGCCCAAGTGACTTCCTTCCTCCCTCGCTTGATCTTTCCCCCTTCCCCTCTCTCTCACACACACAGACTAATCCCTTACAACTGCACCTATCCGTCGTCCGTAAACTACTAGGAGAACCATAGGTGTTTGTTCTTCCGTTCGCTTGTTCAAGTGATTTGTTTCCCATTCGAGCGACATAGAGTTCATCTCTCTCTCTTCTCGTCTATGGAGCCGAGAGGCATTAGATCAACTTAGATAGACGAGGTTAGACGGAAGGATGTACTATCGTTGAATTGACCGATGAGCGTATAGGTAGGCGGGCAAGTGCTTTTCGACAGAATCCGTGTTAGTGCTTATTACTGTGCGATCAGACAGATATTACACTTGAGTAGCTAGTAAGGACCGACTGGTGCGGCTCACCTCCGCAAGTGACCGAGGACTGACAAATGGAGCGATTCATAGATCAATAGGAGTCTTTTTGTGCGCTGAGTGAGTGTCATTACTGCTTGGTTGTAGCGCTCTACCTCACCCTCGGAAGTTATGGGATGCTAACTACGTGGTCCGTTTGACGAGCTGCCTTCCGGTCGTGGTCTTGGCACAGTTGCATAGTTGTATCATAGATGAAGACGCCAGCTCGGACGGCAAATATGCCTGAGTTGATGACGAAGCTGCCGCTGTCTTTTGTCTTTTCCAATGGGAAGCTGTGCGTGCTTGAGTTGAGAGCACGGTGTGGTGGCTGTGAATGCGGGTGGGTGGGTGTGCTTCAGCTGAGAGCACGGTGGCTATAAATGCGGATGACATTTTTGTGCATCCACGAAAGTGGGGCTGTACGCTGGTCTTGCAAATGCTCTCTGATTCTGCCGATTTTGCTAGCGTGCATTGCGCTGTTCACATTAAGATAATGATTTCGGTTTTGTAGCTACCCATTCGATGAGCATCATCCATCACCTGCCTGTTCCACCTCGAGGATTCATGTCTCATTTGCCCGTCGTTGGTTTGCTTCCATTCATCCTCCCTCTGCATTTCTTCCGGGAACCTCTTCCCACATGTACCGTATTCTTTCAGCTTAGTGGCAGGCACTCCCGAGTTTTATCAATCCAGTATCATGTACGTTAGAGCTATGTAGTGATCGCGCAAACAACGCTAGCTAGCCCATATTGGGTTTTGACTCTTGAGCATTTAGAGGATGAATGAAAGTGTGTAGTAAGGACCAGCGTTGGCGAGCGACGAATGAGTGATGATCGGCTTAGTAGAGTGAATTTGAGCGAGGCACACTGCCAGAGCAGCTGCTATGGAACGTTTGTGGTTTCCCTGCCCCATGGGAACGTTGTTGGCCGGCATAGCGTAGGGTGTGCATCCGGCTCGCACTGGGATGGCGTCCACACAAGCGTCTTAGCTAGCAGCATTTAACAATGCGGAATGAATAGCAAATGAAATGCTCAGTGCCTTTTTTTTTTCTGTACTATGTAGTTCGTTGTACTTTACTGCGCTTCTTTTTGCTCTGTACCAATATGCTATGTGCTTTGATATGTCGGATGATACCCCCTTTTGACGGCTCCCCTGCTCCGCCTTCGACAGGGGAAAAAACTTAAAAAAGCCACCTCCGTAGCAGTTAGTAATAGACGCCAGCATTGCAATATGCAGCTACTAGGTTCCTGGAGGGGTGGAGTATGAGTTGTCTTTTTCTCTGCAATCGCGTAGGCTGTCAGATTAGATTGGCTCGATTTTGTCCCCCTTTTTTTTGCCTGCTCCATGATCGTGTATTCTAGTGTATTTGTGCTCAGATAGCTCCCTCCATCGGACTTCATGTCAAACAGACGTTGCCAACTTGAACCGAAAAAACGGGCCATCCCTCCTCAACTTTCTCCTCTAATTTCCACTCCTTCGTCGAAGATGCTGAGATGGTAAGCTTCTTCCTCCTCGAGCTCGTGTATGCACAGCCGAAGACACAGGCAGGAGACAGGCCAGGAGGTAGGGGAAGATACTGCCCGTACACACACACACACACACACACACACACACACACACACACACACACACACACACACTACATACACTTCCGCATACACACGCACACACACACACACACACACACACAGAGAGAGAGAGAGAGAGAGAGAGAGAGAGAGAGAGAGAGAGAGAGAGAGAGAGAGAGAGNAGAGAGAGAGAGAGAGAGAGAGAGAGAGAGAGAGAGAGAGAGAGAGAGAGAGAGAGAGAGAGAGAGAGAGAGAGAGAGATTGGTTTTTCACTCGTGGTAACGGTTGCTAGTGTTTTGAAGTTCTCAGAGGCAGCTGAGTGCACACTATTCCAATCGTGACATTATAGAATTGACCATTCTTTTTGCTCGTATAGTGTGATTGCTCTGATGTAGGGAAGGCCTGAGAGTAAGTGCTCAGCAGTAATAGACACAAGGATTATGCAGTGCACTGCCTTTTGATTTGTTGGTTGGCGTTCCTCGGTACAGAGAAAAAGCATATCACAGGAGAGGACCCAATTCGACCACCTTAAGGGTAAGATATTCCACGAAGATCAAATTTTCCGGGTTTAACTTACCGTATCGTAAGTGACCGGCTGGCCTGCCTTGAAGATGATAGAATGACCAGCCTCCTGCTGTAGGTAGACGAATATCCAGAGGCGAGGGTTTATGGAGACTGCGGAAGCCTTGTTGTATCTTTTTTCTTCCTTCAATTTCTTCAAAGCCCTGTTCTGATTCTCGTCGCAGGGGGGTTTACTGAGACTTTTCTTATCTCTAATATTTCCCTCTCCTTTTTTAGGTCTTCACTTTCTTCCCTACGTAGGCAAGCACATATGCTGGCGCTAGCGCTCTCTCGCACACTCACGAGCATATAATCTACAGATTCTACACACCTAGCTTAGAATCCCTCCGGGTAGAGTAGTGTGCCTCAAATTCTGTGCTTTTGCCCTCGGTCAGTGTACTAGTACTGTAGTAGCTGGAGCATTGTGCGTCCCACTGGTGACGTGGTGAACCTCTTGTGATACTCCTTGAGTGCTTGATGCCAGGTCGACTCGGCGGGCTGAGACGTAGAAGTGTTTTTGTGACTGCTGAGGCCTCTGGCAGAATGGCAGAGAATGCCTCTGTTGATGGCCGTTGGCTGTTCTCTATTGGTCGTGCGTTCTGCCCACCGCACAACCGCTGGCGTAGACCAGGTGACCTCCTCGACCACTGGAACGCAATCCAGTCCAGTCATTTCTCTTTTGATTCTGATGATGAGACAGATCAGATTCTGTGGGCGGCAACGACGGCTGAGTTGCAATTTTCAACAATTCACTTATGAATCCCTCCTACCTGTTTGTTTTCCAAGGCAAGATTCGGTCCAGAGGACGTCGACAGGGGGAGGAGAGGGGGGGGGGAGATAAGGTGACGACATGAGAGGCGAGTGGAAGGCAAACCAAGAGGCATCTGAAGATTCTGAAGTGTGAAGAAGTGTGAAGCACGTACACGCTGTTGCAACGGACTGGACAGTATTTTCAGGGAAGGGAAGGTCTACATTCTTCTGAGATGCTGAACTTGATTTAGCGTCGGCACGACATGACATCTGGTGACGATTTATGAGCTCTGCCAGCAGGATTGTGTACGCTAAGGTATAAAATGCATGACCCACAACGTTGATCTCTGCCAGCTGAGGGTATGCTGAGGGTACTATGTATTATCAGGGAAGGATCATGGATCATTCATTCTCCTGAGATGTTGTAGTTGAGCGTCGGCAGGATATGACGTTTGACGATCTGATGCTTATGAGCTCTGACAGCTGGATGGTGCAACTCCAGGAAGTGGTGTGTACGATATATAACATGCGTGACCAACGACATTGATCTGTGTGCCAGTCCAGTATACCACCGACGGACTAGAAGAGTTCTTTCCGCTGATGACGGGCTTTCGACCGAAGCTTTTGATAGTTCCGGGTTTTTTGACGAGGAGTTTCACGGTGTTTCTTTTTTTGTGTTTGTTTGGAAACCTGGAAGGTATTGCTTGGAGAATGTTTTGAGTTAGGCCCAGCCCACTCAGATGCCAGCCAATGGGACTTGTCTCTCGCTGATTGCTTTGTCGAATATTTTTCGGTAATTCGCATAATTAATTATTTAATGAATAAGTAAACTGCGTAATTAACGACTTGGATGGAGGTAAGACATGTCCAAGGGTGTGTCATTTTCAGAACTCGCGTTGCAGCTGTCAATCACCCACAGGACCCCCTAGGAACCCCGTAGGAAAAGGTGAGTCAGGTGACTGCATCCACCCAGATGAAGTAAGGTCCCTTTCCACGGTGGAGACTCTTTCCCTTGCTTCCTCATCTCCGTTTTATTTTTTCTCTCCTGCATGCTTAGATCAGGGCATAGACAGAAGGACAGTCTCACCCTGAGCTCACGCTTGCGCTGTGGGCTGCGTCCGTAAAACTTGAGCATTATCTATTGGCGATCTTAAGCAAGTCATCTCGCAGCGGGCAGAGGTGCCGAGAAGCCTCCTTCCGGATATTGGGACCCCGGTAAGGAGAAGTGGTCGTGAGGGCCCTGTATCTCCTCTCCTGTTCTCCATGACTGTGCAGCGTAATGTGGATGCCTCACAAATTGTGTACCTACGTTGCCTTCATTCATTGATTGGTCGCCAGTCTCTTTCACGAACCTCAGGAATTACACGACTGTACGTTCATCCGTCATCTTGACACTTTCTGAAGACATGGTTCAGACAAGGTACAGGGTCTCGGGCGGTCAGCTCAGAGTAGTCTTTTTCTGTTAGCGGCTGGGGGACCCTCGTAATCTGCCTGAGAGGAACCGTCATAATTATTATGATGACGAGATGGTGGCTTGATGGAAAAGAGGGTTGACGGTGACTATCGTGACAAGGAGGATGATCGATATTATGGCGCCAATCAGGAGGGAATCAAATGTGTTATTGGAATGAACTTGTGATTGATGTCCATCAGGGGAGAGTGGTACAATAGCTATGAGCCTATGAGAGAGTCGTTTGTCTTCTGTGCCGGATATGATGCAGTGAACAATTCAGGGGCGGGCACAAACAATGTCGTGATCCATCCTCTTTGTGGCCAAATCTAATTTATTATTACGTTGTCACAAGGAAAAATGAGTCGTTTGTGAGTTTCCTACTTGTCTGGTCAGTGAGCATGTCAGGGAGGCACTACGGTATCACTGATTGTTCTGGATTGCTTATCTTCTACAGATGTCAAACTCAAAATGCTTCTTTTGCCTTGATATCGGCAGAAAATACAGGGTTCGAGGTCATCATGCGGTGGATGTTGATCTTTGCGAATACAAACTGTTTTGGAATTTCTTTCTGCGTGTCTACGGGCAACATGTTCTTTTCTTTGTGTCTGTGTGCATGCGTGCGCGTGTGTGGGGGGGCTGCACACACACACACACACACACACAGGAGAGAGAGAGAGAGAGAGAGAGAGAGAGAGAGAGAGAGAGAGAGAGAGGGTGATATCAATATTCAGTGACGCTGATGGACTGAGCAGGAGGTTGAACCCAGAGCAGTTCTTTTTTTCTTTTCTCTTTTTTTCAACCAACTTTGCATTTCATAACCGGGAACAGCTTAAATAATCCTGTCGTGACTTGTGAGTAGACCTCTAGGCCGGTGATAACCACATCGGCAAAAACAGGGTCTGCATCGTATTTAGCTAAATCACTACTCAATTTTTGATGTGGCCCTGAGGGCGCACGCAGGCCGCAACCCCGGCCTGGGGCCGCAGCGAACCAGGGGAATACCCCCCCCGAAATTGGCCCCAGGGCCTGTGCGCTTGACAGTTGACTACGGCCAACTGCCCAGCGGCCTAAGAGTCAAAGTCTACATGGACCCAGCCCAGGCCGCTGGTCAGACACACACACTTGTTTGTATGCAGGTACCAAGACAACATTTCGACCAAGTGGAGGACTGCAACTGTATGAGATCCAGGCTCTCGGCTGCGAGTCAATCTGAGCCGCCGTGGATGGGAGACCTGAGGTGGGTCAACCTCGTCAAACATTACATAAGTCCTTGCCTCCAGGGAGTCAACATTCAGTCTTGCTACACTGATTTGATGCTGGCTTGATGCTAGCTGGACGTTGGCTTGATGGTGGCTGGACGCTGGCTTGGTGCTGGCTCGATGCTCGCTGTGCGCTGGCACTGCGGACGACAACGAGAGACTGCTGCTTGCTTGCTGGCGCCTTCCTGACTTGGCGCCAGCCTCTGCTGAAGTGGTGCAAGCCATGCTGTCTTCGACATTGCTGATGTGGGGCATGCCACCCTGTCTTCATTGCTGACGGGGCATTTGCCACACTGTCCTCATTGCTGAGTTGGACGAGACAAGGAGGGAGATTGGGATCTGTTGATGATTGAGAGAGAGATAGAGGATTCTTACCTGCTACTGATGTCGATACTGTGAGCTGCTGAACGTCTCCCCACGGGAGAACTGTGCCACGTGGCACTATGATGTGATCAGGCCCTGTCAGGCTCATTACTGGACACTGTCGCTGACGTGGAGGCGAGGGGAGCCCAGAGAAGGAGAAGGAAATGTTGGGCTACTATCTCTGTGGTCATTGATGGACACTTACTCTTCCACCCTCTAAACCGTCTATTCTCACTCTCTCCTCTTCGTCTATTGGCAACGAGATGTTGTATTACAGATCACATTCACCATTATTGGAGACATTATTCAGCACTGAGTTTCCTTGTACTTCCACATTTGACGAGTATCTTCCCGACTGGGTTCATTACAATTTGGTATCAGAGCTTACCTTCTTCGTCGTGATGTGCTGTCAGGCGCCAGATGGCGCCCAGGCAAGTGGGAGGTGCCGTGTGCCATTGGAAAGAATTGTGTTTATATTATCATCACAGGCAAGACATTGACTGCCACACGCGCACACGCTCCCTTGAAGATGATGACGTGGACATGTTGAAGTGAAGACAGCAACATTGCTTACGTGGCACAGTGTTGCTGATGTGGCGATCAGATACCGGCGAGAGCCTCCTTGGCTGCGGGCTGACGTGGCCTGAGTGATCGAGAGAGAGAGAGAGGGAGAGAGAGTGGGATATCGGGACTGCTGACATGGTGCGCTGCAGCAGGGTATTGTCTGACTTGGCACTCAGCTGTGTTGCGACTTACCTGCTGATGTGGCACTTCACACTCCAGCAGTACTTCGATCTGACATGGCATACCAGTGGTGGATGATGTGGCAGCTGGTCCTTGCTGATGTGGCACCCCTTCTTGGAGGCCTATTGGCCATTGTTGCTGACGTGGCAACTCTGTGGAGTTGCTGCGTTGACATCCCTGGGTGACATGTGGTAGGGGCTGAGCATTGCTGCTGGTGAGAAGTCGATACTCGCACTTGTGTGCTGGCGGGCAGTACAGCATTATGATTTGGCTGTAGTGCCACGCATCGTCCCTTGTGCCTGGCCGCATTGGTATCTGCAGACGGTGCAGCTGAAGATGAAAGGATGCTGACATATTGATTGTTGTTGTTGTGTTGGCTGACTTACTCACTTGTATTGGCTGTTTTGTGGATGCTGTGCATACTCACCTGTGTATTGTGTCTTGATCACAATGGCCGTGGCTGCGGTACCTGTGCACTCTCGTTAGAACTCATCACACATAGCACAGATAGCAGAAGTTAGAAGTGCAAATAAATAGAAATATGTTCCCTATATATTTTCGTTGCTTATTTCTTTCTGCATTAAGTTATTAACTGTGTGTGGCCGTGGAATTTGTTATTTGTCTTGTAATTATTTATTGTGCGGCAGACACAGATTGTGGGAATGTCTTTCATCTGGAAATGTTTGTGTGCCTCCATTCTCATGAGATTCATTCCTCTTTTCCTCTACCCATCACTCTCACTCTGTTTGCTGACGAGGAAGAGGGAGTGTTGCGGACACGTGGTCAAACTGACGAGAGACAGCAGCTAATGCTGACCCGTCTTCGCACACTGCTCACAGAAATAAGAATGCTGGCCCTGATGCTAGACAGCATGTAAGTAGCTTGTTCGATCTGCCTGCCACAGAAACCGGACTACACAAAGCTGATACTGCTGCCCGGATGATGGAGGTCAGTAGAAGAGTACAAGAAACTATCAATCAGGCGCGAATGACACTTGATCGATATGTTGCGGAGCAGTATGCAAAGATCGCTGAACAGGAAGAGAAGAGAAAGATGAAGGGGAATATCAAGCAATTGGAAAATGCATTAAATGCAGAGAAGAGAAAGATGGAAGAATACCGGAGGATGAAAAGGGAAAAAGAACAGCAGGAAAAAAAAGTGGATGAAATCAGAAAACGGTTTCACTCAGGGGGAACAGGGACTGACCTTGTATCTGTTTTGAATGATATGATGGCTTACCTCGCCCATCTCGAAATGAAGATTGAAGGTAACAATGACCAGACTCATCAAGGGGAAGGACAAGGTAATGTATGAGGAGTAGGCCAAGGGGGAAGAGAAGAAAGAACCCCAGGAGAAGCTAATGAAAAATGCAATGAAAATAACGAAAGTGACGCTGGAGACACCCAAGAGTTTTAAGAAAGAAACTGAGAAACCGGCGGAGAAAAAGGAAGAACCCGCTAAGATAGAACCGGCCAAAGAAGCAGAGAAACCGAAGAAGAAAAAAAAGGTAAAAATGAAGTTGCCATTCACGTATAACAAAAAAAGCGAACTAATTTGTTGTTGTGTATTAGCCGAAATCTAGACTTATTGTAGCACCACTCGAGTTGAACCTGAAAGTCAGGTAGCGTTCTCCACGTCTTGTCTGGGAGAAGTGGCCAAGGAGGAAAAAAAAAAAAAAAAAAAAAAGTGGCCAAGGAGTGGGTCCTGTCGGAGGCCAACACTGCTGGTTTCGAAGACATCGGTGAGTGGGCCAAAGCCTTGACCCTCAAGTAATTTCTCCAACAGATCAAGGAGAGATTTCTTGACAACACAACGATGGACAGTGCCGGTCCCGTGAACGTGACCTGCACTGGTCACTTGAACGTGACCGGCCGGTCACGGGGGCCGAATTCTGTGAACGGCCTATCACGGGGATTCCGCCCACGTGGAGGCCAGACGGTCGGGATCGGGGCAGGAAGCTATGTGTCCATTCAACGTGCAACGAAAAAGTTTCAACTCCGTTGTACCCATTGAATATCTCTCGAGCCCCAGTTGAATCCCCGTTGAATAGAAGAACGGGCCCTCCCCGTTGAATACTGTTCAACGGGGAGGGCGCATCGGGCCTCGGACACGTCGCGGAGTGCACGTGGAGCAAAAAAAAAAATTCATCCCGTTCGTTGAATCCCGTTGAATTCCCGTTCAATCCCATTGAATCCCGTTGAATTCGAGTTGAATCACGTTGTTGAGTTCAGAAAACTCAACGGTGTGACGGCATTTCGACATTAAATGAGAGAGAGAGAGAGAGAGGCCGTCAGCCAGTGTCTGACGCCGAGTTTGGTGC